CTGAGTAGGGCTGAAGTCAGAGCAGGCCTGAAGGACAGCCCAAGGGGCATGCTGAGTAAGGTCAAATGGCAGTAAACTTGAAGGACAGCACAAGGGTCAGCCGCATGAGAAGTTGTGCTCGGTGAGAGGCCTGGGGCAGAATTAGCCCAGGGTTTGGCATAAGGCCAGACGATGTAGAGTAGAGGAACTCCTGGGAACTGAAGGTTCTGCGTGGCAAGGCCAGTATGAGTGTAGCAAAGCCTGATGACCCAAGATGGGCTGCTCAAGGAGTAGCAGGGCAGTGGAGGGTGGGCTAGTAATGGGCAGTATGCCAGAGGCCCTGGTGAGATAGGGGTGGAGTAGAAGAGGCCTCCTGTGAGAGAGGAGGTAGTGCTAATGTGCGTGTGGAGACCAACTTTGGACTTAGTTTGCTCTGGTCTCAGACCAGGAGTAATGTTAACCTGGATGCTGTATATGAGGGATGGGCTGTGGTGTAGGTTGGAGCTGCAGGTGGTGCCCCCTGGCATCGAGGCAGTAATGGGCAGTCTCCCACATGTTCCGTATATGGGACCTGCCATGACTTGGTTGTTATGATCGGGCAGATTGCCCCATAGAGACAGATGGGCAGGCCGACATGAGACCCAGCCCTGAGAGTTGCCACTTGTCACAGGATCCATTTTGCCTTTTCTGAAAACTACTGCAAGTTTTATCACAGGTATTCCATAAACACGCCTTTTAAAGAGCATTTTTGTACCTACCTATATATAGTACAAACTTTATTTTTTTTTTAAAGAAAAATTTTCCTGTTCCAAGTCAAATCAGCCAGATCAATTCCAAATCCAGGAGTCATTCAAGAACCATATGTGGCCCTACTACTGGCAAACATTCTCCACCCCTACCTAGGGCTTCAGATGCTTCCAAATCATTTGGTGGGCATCCTACTTGCAGGTCTAAGCCCTGGAGTTGGTTTCCATTACTGAGCACCAGCTGCTTTTGGCAGCAGTTTAATGATAAACGGTGTATTTAATGAGGTTTGCTTGTACGCTGATATAAAATGAGGGGATTTCCACCCCCCCACCCTCCCCCACCCCTGCT